TGTCTTGTATTTCAGTAATGCATAATTTGCTTTTATAACCGCATTATGGGGTTGGGGGATTCTTTGTTTTCTTCAAAAAAACATGTGGTCTTGCCTTGTAATCACCCGGTCGTATTGGTGGTCTCTCCTTTTTTTCTGTATGATTGTTGCAGACCTTGAATTTGCAGAGAGACAAGATATTTTAGTGTACAGCTGAGTAATTACTTCTGGGTGCCTCTTACCATCTGCGTTTGTCATTTATGAACTTTAGCATGTCATGTAATGCATCCATTAGAACTGAGGAAAGTGGGAGTGCTGCTAGGCGCAACAGCCTGGAAATGCCCAAAGAATTAATTTGGATGTGCTTTCAGTGGTGTAAATGATAAAGAAAAAGTTGTGCACATCATGATTCATTGTAAGCATTGAAGAATACCTTTGCAATGTGTGGTTTTCACTTTCTCCTCTTTAGTGCAGCTATGGTTAGTAAGGTAAGCTAAGTTAGGCAGCATTTTGCTGCTGTTAGGGTTATTCCTGCTTGGTACCACTGGAGTCCCGAGTTCTCTACTTATTGATGTGGGGACCAAAAGGGAATGTACTCGCCATCAGGCAAGCATGTCCTGCAGCTACGTTTCCAACTAAGGAACAATGAGAACATTAATGAAGACCCTTTTTGTTCCCACAGGTGGTTTACTCACTTTTATGTGGTTTCTGTGCTCTGGAATGGCTTTCTGCTGATCTGGCTTTTCCGAGCTGAGTTCCTTGGAGGGTCGCTCCCATCATGGATTCAGCATGTGCACCGTGCTCTTGGCAGAGACTCTCAGAGTGAGGACACGGGCAAGTATTCCAGCTATTATGATGCAGCCATATAAATATTAGAAAGCTGCACTACCATCCTGTGCTGAATTTGTATTCTTCAAGTGCTACTTCATCAGCTGCTTTTAAACTAGGTGTCGTGGTTTAACTTCAGTCGGCAACTAAGCACCACGCAGCCGCTCGCTCACTCCCCCCCACGCGGTGGGATGGGGGAGAGAATTGGAAGAGCACAAGTTAGAAAAACTCGTGGGTTGAGATAAAAACAGTTTAATAATTGAAATAAAATGATAATAATAATATGATAATAATAATAATAATACACAAAACAAGTGATGCACAGTACAATTGCTCACCACCCGCCGACCGATGCCCAGCCAGTCCCCGAGCAGCGGCCCCCCCGGCCAGCTTTCCCAGTTTATGTACTGAGCATGACGTCCCATGGTATGGAATGTCCCTTTGGCCAGTTTGGCTGTGCCCCCTCCCAGCTTCTTGTGCACCTCCAGCCTTCTCAGTCAGTAGAGCATGGGAAGCTGAAAAGTCCTTGGCTAGTGTAAGCATTACCTAGCAACAACTAAAACATCGGTGGGTTATCAACTTTGTTCTCATCCTAAATCCAAAACACTGTACCAGCTACTAGAAAGGAAATTAACTCTATCCCTGCCGAAACCAGGACACTAGGCTCCAAGTGACTTTTCTGGAATACCAATTCACTTTGTCATTATTCAAGGTAGAAATCATTCTAATTTATGGATAGCAGTCCTTTTAGTAGAAAGGGCCATTAGCACCTTCTAGAAGTATTCTTGCTGCGGTCAGCAGTGCCTCACATGTACAAATATTTTCCCCAGTGCTCAGTTAATTTAAAATGAGGATAAAATTTTGCTGTGGGGAGAGGAAAAAATAGCCTTTTTGAAGCACTTGAATTGTTCCTATCTGTCTCAAAGTCGCTGTTTCTTATCTGCACGCAGATAGTGAGCATTTCTCTGCGCTCCTGGTTCTCCTGCTGCTTTGGCTGCATAGCTGTCGAAGACTTGCAGAATGCCTCTGGACCAGCGTGTTTTCCAATGGCGTCATTCATATCGTGCAGTATTGCTTTGGACTTGGTTACTACATTGCCGTTGGCTCAACTGTGCTATGTCAAGTGCCTACTAATGTCAGGAATGGTAAATGCCTGCTTAGTTACTACCAAAGATGCGGTTTTACTCCCATTTGTTTCCATTGTGGCAAATGGTTTCATAGAGGCCTGCTTGTGTGAGAAGTGTGTTAACTGATGAGACATAAAAATACTTACTGGCATAGTTGAAAGTAACTACGTTTCAGTATATCACATAATCAACCAGCATTATACACAAACAGACACACAGACACTGACACACACTTTCGTGTTAACCATCACTGTTACTTCCTGAAAGACATCTCACATAGATACTTTCAGAATCATTACCGATCAGTTTTGCATTGAGATACATATACTTTGTGAAGGACAGTAATAGGTACCAGTTCTCAAATGCCACTATGCAACTTCAGTTCTCAAACTGGAGTTTGGTTTTTTGCTGTAAGCTTTCCTGTAAGGTGAGTCTGCAAGACCGTCTTGGCCATCTCTTTTGTTCTGCACTGAGAACTCGCCACTGCTCTGCTTTGCATCAGTCAGTCTCTTCTTTCCCTCGGTACTGTAATGTCTCCATTAATACAGCAAAAATTTGAATTATATGACTTGTTTCTGCCAACACATTTCACTGAGTCTCACAACTGAGCTGCTGTTCCCCTGCACAGATGAACCATGAGCTGGTTGTAGCACTTCTCCCATGACTAATTTTTGTAAGGTGGTCGTTACCAAGTATGTAACTTTAGTGAAGTTTTTAACCGCTTCCAATCACATCAGTTCTAGTTTAATCCAGTGATTTTTCAAAAGAACCTTCAGATCTCCTATGTGTAGATAAAGCCTTTTTCTTTCTGGACCTGTCTTCTACTTTTCACATCTTGTAGATTCTTAGAGATGGTGTATTGGCTTGTACGTTGGAAACCATCCTTGATACAGTTAACATTTTTTTGAAGGCCTAAATGGTTCGCACTGTGCGCGTGTGTGTGTGTAGGTGTATGTATGTATGTATCTCACTCAGTGTGAACAGGACAAACAGCTGTGTACTTAAATGTTGACCTGAGCCATGACATCTTTAATTAGGATGATAAGAATTACCAACAGTGTTGAATATTGAGGTCTTAGACTATCAATTATGTGTTGGTTGTACATCATGCTGTACCTCAAGCTACTGGATTAAAAACTAGGTGTATTTTTAGTATAGAGCGGTTAAAGGAAATAAACTACCAGCAGAGCACTTAAATGATGCAGGATTTAAAAGAATCTTTCAAGGAATTAGAGGCTCACTACTAGGATTTTGTAAGACAGTAACATTTAAAAAATGTATACAATGTTTTGGGATGATGCTTGGGAAGGTATTTCCTGGCTGTATATTAATGAAACATATTTCATTCAGGAGAAGTGCTTTCTATGCAGATCTGCTGGTATCACATTGTAGGAATTACGACGTACATTTGGGCCTCTCTTCACCAACACAGATGTCTTGTGATTCTAGCTAATCTTAGAAAAAGTAAATCAGGTAAGATGTTTCATTTCTGCCAACCATTTACTTAGGTAATTTTTTCCTGGTTGTTTCAATAGGCTTCTGTAGCTTCTAATACCTTAAAACACGAGTATTTTTCAGTTCCGGTAGTGTGGTGCTCTCTATAAGACTTTCAGTAGATAAAATGAGGCTGTTTGAAAAAGAGATTGGATGGCTGAATGGGGGGGGTGTCTGTGTCTGTATATATAGTTCTATAGAACTTAAAATGAAGGTCTAGCTTCTGGTATCCTAAGGACAGACACATGCTAATGCTTAGGACTTGTGCCACTCCTTGGGGACCTCACTTCTGTCTCCATATGGGCTAAAAATAGGTTTCCTTACTCTGTATTTGCGCCAAACAGCCAGAGGTGGCATCTTATTTCATTAAGAAGTGCAAAGCTGCCAGATCAGATGGAGGTGGATGATGATGATAACTTTAATGAGCGTGTTGTTCTGTAATTATGAGTAGAAAAGTTTGTTTAATGCACGTTGTTCTCAACTAATTTCTTTCTGTTTGCTTGCAGGAAAGGTCGTAAGTCTGAGCCACAGTGTACCTTTCGGAGACTGGTTTGAGAGAGTTTCTTGCCCTCATTATTTTGCAGAGCTCCTCATATATGTATCTATGGCCGTCACGCTTGGATTTCACAATGTGACATGGTGGTGTGTAGTGATGTATGTTCTTTTTAACCAGGCACTGGCTGCTGTTTTGTGTCACGAGTTCTATCGGAAAAACTTTAGCTCCTACCCAAAGCATCGAACAGCATTTATACCATTTGTTTTTTAGAATATTTCTTCTAAAAGTATCTTTAGTGCAAACTGGGAAATGTTTTCTATAAGGGAATAAGAAATTTACGGTTTATTAAAGCCAAGGTAAAATCGCACATTTTCTCTAATTCTAGCTTAAAAGCTCATAATTTTAATGATAATCTCATCCATGTTACCAATTTATGTGGGGAAGTGTAAGGTCTCTGCATATCATATAAGCTAAAAAAAGGTTTACTGAAGACCTTAATTCAAACTGAAGAGATGCTAATTGGCTCTTTTCTGTTTTATAATCATATCTTATGCATAAAACACTTGCTGTTGTGCAGCAAGCCCAAATACATAGACGTGAAAACTGTGTAGAGAAAGGAGGGTGCAGGGAATCATTTGCACTACTGTATTTCATGCCTTGTCTAATATTTAAGCATATTTTTTCCTAGTCTTTTCTTTGAATCACTTCAGAGGGAGGCAAATTGTGTATTGTCTTTCTGTGCTTCCCTGTTGATAATTAAAACCAGTTGCTGCTTTATAACTTCAAGCACAAAAAACGGTGGAGAAAGTGAGAAAGCTGCGGTGGAGGAATGACTCATGCTCAGCAGCGGAGAGAGAAACAGACCCGTTCTCTGCATTATCTCTTCTGCACCAAAGTGTTTTCATTCATTGATGAAAACTCCTTGTTTATCCCTAAACTGGGAAAATCGTGGAAGGTTCTCTGTCTAGAGAGACAGTAGAAGAGAATTTGCAGAAAATCAGTGTTCTTGGTTATGGTTCTGTCGTCCTTACAGCAGGTTTTGAACCCTCGTGTGTTAGAGGGGGCAGTTATGCAGGATGACCGTAACCACGACTACACTGCTTTTTAAACAGCCTGTGAGAGCAGATGTAATGAACTGCCGAGGCAGAGAACTCACAGAAACCAGTACCTGACAAGCATTGCAAAGAAATTCTTGACTGGGGAGATGATGTCACTCAGCACAGGGGTTTTTTGCACTTAACCATTGAATATTTTGGTCCTTTTCATGATACTGGAGTGAGTGATCAATTTGCATGATGGACCAGCAGATGGATGCTGGTCTTTCAACGTGTTTTCTACTTACATGCATATATTATTTTGTATGTGAGAAGAATTTTTATATACTGAAGTATACCTTATGAATTATCTGATTAAAACAGTTTATTACACCTTCTATTTTGTATAATTTTTCAAAACTGAGCTATGTATTTGCAAAACTTGAGCAATTACTTTGCACAAAATGTTGGTCGTCTCTTGGCTCTCGCAACCCTCTCTCCATCGACACTTCCATAGCTTCAGTTCACCGTGGAATATAAACAACCCTGTCGCGGGACCGCGCCTTTCCGTATTATTCTTTTTTAGTCATTCTCGGGAATCCCCCCTTGAGCCTGCCTCCGAGCATCTCCTCTTCTGCTGGCGTTCTCGGTCCTGCTCACTAGACTGTCAGTTGCTTCTCGGGGAGCACGTTCCTGTCCTTGCCCCGGGGAGAGCATCGGGGCGCAGGGCCCTCCTGGGGCCGCGCACGCCCCCAGCGCTGCTTTGTACTTCGGCTTGCAGAAACCTGGACGTGCCCAGGCCGTTTCTATGCGGTTTCTTTGCCTCCTCACGCGGCCGTTTTGCTTTCCGTCCCTCGGCGCCCTTTGCCTGCCCGCAGGCAACTCCGAACGGAGGAGGGACGCGCTTCGACTCGCCCGCTCCCCCGGGAAAGCTGCGCGGCGGCCGCCCTGCCCGTCCCCTCTCGGCGC